AGTTGACATGTCTACTTACAGAATTTCAGCATATTCTTTCCATTTTGTTTGACCTTCTTGAAACCAGGTACTATCTATTCATTGTTTTTCTTTTGTGTCATTTCAAACTTGGAACCCTCCTTTTGAGTATGGGAATCTTTTGGAAGACTTTTCTTTTTTAAAAACATGAGTCTCTTCATCTCTCATATTTTTGTAGATGTTGTAGTATTACTAATTGTCTCTTCTAATAGTTGTCTGAATAATTCGTTAAGATCCTTTCTGAGATTTTTGTCTTTCTTGGTTTTGGATTTTATTCTCTTCTAAGTAATTTTGACTGTTAGTTCTGACATTGAGTTTGCTTTCTTCTGTTTCTTCATGTTTGGCACCCTCTTTTCACATTCATATTTAACAACTTATTTAAGTTTATTCCATAATTCCTCTGCTTTCCAAACAATGAAGTTCAGGACTTCAAAGCAATTTCTCATGTACTCTTTAAAAATGGAAGCCTATGCTCAAGATAACACCATGGAAAACAGTTGGATTCCCCCACCCCCTATTTTGCTTTAACTTGACTTGGAACTTGCATATCTGCAGCTTGAGATCCCCATATATGAGGTTGATAGATTAATAGATAGAAAAAAATGTACTTGCATATTGACAATCATTCATCATTGTGTAATGATAGTCTTGGCTAATTCTTTAACCTATGCCCTCCTTGCTATAGCAAGTCAATCATAATATTAAAATTATAACTATAAAATCTGTGCCTTCAGCCTCAAATTTATCCTGAAACTTACCTGACAAAGGCTTAAAATATATTTTATTCCTGGTACTCTCTGCAAGGCCATTATTCTACTAACACATTCATATTATGAATATTAAATTAAATTACATTAATCATTAAAATATGACTACATCTGTGGAAAAAGATAATTTATAGTGTTTTTCTTTTTAACATTGGATTATTTCCATCAACATTAGTTAAACAGTGGTAGAGAGGCAGTATATCAAATAATAGATTAATTGCCTGATGCATGCCTTTAAGAATAAAATGCCATAACCTGCTATCCAGACCCACTGAGCTATTTTTTGTGGTCTCTGGAACCCAGAGAGTTTCAGTGATGCCAAGAAAAAATAGCATTTTTCTGCACTGTTTTCTCTTTTAAGGAAAACAATGAGAAAGGGGAGGGAGGCATAACTCTTTTGGGGGGACTTAAGAGGTCCAAAGTGACGGGTATGTCCATGCCTTCTTGACAACAGTGCCAAAGTGATTGCCACTGCCTTGTGGGAATGTTTTATACAGCCTTATTGAAATTGGGTGTTAAGTTATTGAAGATTGACCTAGAAGGTATTTTTTAATTCAGTGATTTTTTTCCCCATTCATCTAAACAGTTTTAGATTTAGATATGTAAAGGACTGAAGTGTAGTTGATTTCAATGAAACGTAATTGTGCTTAATTTTGGCTGAGCCAAGTACATTACTATTTACTTAAAACAAACAAGCAAAGCAAAGCACCATTGTTGGAAGAAAAGTCTTCATAGGATACATTTAGAGGAAGAATAATTTTTAGAGCCATCCAAGGGACTTCTATATCTCAGCCGAATTGCTGCCATTTCTGCTCTTTTGTTTGCGTGAAGAGTAAAGCAGTGACATTGAATTTGATGCTGATCAGAGCATTGTGCTGCATGCAATTAAGTTATTAATGTGCTGTTATTAAAGGGCACGAAATGTTTCTGCCCATGCAGTCACTGTGAGAAAGAAAATGGTTCCTGGAACCACACCCTCCTGTCTCTGATTTGAATAGGTTTTGAGTCATGTGCATGATCCAACAAAGTCCAGTGAATGATGTTCATGTATATAGTAATCCATTTAATGCCTTTCTGTGTTGCACCTTCAGCGTAACAATACAGATGCTTACGCAACGTGTGCCTTCAGTATCTGCACTTTACAGGTGAATCTGTTTCGAAATCACAAAGGCTTTTCACACTGCCACTGCCTAAGTTGCAGGGCCTATTACTGGGATGGATATTAGAAAACCTTAGGGGAACAGGCAAGGGGGAAAAAAAGATGCATCCATTTTATACTTATATTTTAGAAATATAATAATAATAGCACAACACCTAGAAATAATAGCATGACAAAGTAACAACTTTGGCACATTGGAATATCTGCAAGAAATATCATTTGCCTGCAAGCAAGACAGGTGGGACCACAAAATAGAAAAAGTAATAGAAAACGAAGAAGCTAAAATGCTTTGGGACTACGGAACTCAAACAGGCAGTCACCTGCCACATAAAACCCCAGACCTAAACAACTGTTGGTGAGAAAGACGAAAAAGTCTGGATACTGGATGTGGCAGTACCTGGAGACAGCAGACTAGAAGAGAAAAAACAGGAAGAAATTGCAAAATACGAAACCTGCAAATTAAAGGTAGAATGATTGTGGCAAAAGAAAACAAAGGTAGTACCAATAGTAATAGGTGCCTTGGATGCAATCCAATCTCAAAGCATCGGAAGCACCACTTGAACACCATTGGCTGCAATGGTGCTAATGCCCTTGGCATTACAATGGTGCCAGTCAATTGCAAAAGGCAGTTTTACATCCTGCAAGGATATCTTTAGCACCATCAAAGAACATCTGCCTATCCCAGGTCCTTGGGAAGGATAAAACTCCCAAATCTAGTCTAAATATGAGGCTGACAGTATGACAAACCATAATATCAATAACAACAAAACAACAACAACAATAATAATAAAGATGAGAAGGTGAAGATCCTATGGGGCTTTTGAATACAGACAGATTGTTGTGACCTAGGCTCACTTAGTCATTACAAGACACAATTAGTCCCAAACAAACCTATTTTATTATAACAGCTGAGAATTACTTCATTCCCAGCTTAGTCCAAATTAATTCCAAAACAACTCCTTCAGAAAAAGTCCTTCAGGCTTATCACAAACCTTTATCTTCTTTGGCACCCTGCCAAAGGCCTTTCTTGGCAAAGCCCCATGAAGTTCAGAAACAAGAGATGCTGACTGGAAACAGATTTAGCAATGTTTGCTTTCCTACAAAGAGCCCAAGAGCCTTTGCTGCTCTTTTAAGCTGTATGGGAGGGGCCAAACATCTCCTGGCTTACTCCTGAGTCATCCTTTTAGTTGTTTTTGCCTTCTGGCAGCTCTGTGCATGCATGCACTAGGAACAGGCTCCTCCTGTTCCTTTGCCTCTCTGCTGTCCGACTCTAGAGGCTCCGGAGTCCACGCCTCACTCCCAGATGGCCCTGGCCCCATCTCTGCCTCCGACGCAGAGCCCTCATCCGGGCCTTCCCCAGACTTCAGGACTGGCTCATGTTCCTCTCCAGCCTCCTCACTGTCCGACTCCGCTGCTAGCTCCACGGGCTGCTGGCATACCACAACACAGATTGTCATTTAGAACACAACACATCAGATATCACAGTTGTTAAAAACTGAAGGTTACAATATTGCTGTACCAGGAGATGCCAGAATTGAAGAAAAAGAACTAGAAAAAATAACGAAATATCGCGGCCTGGCCATCGAAACTACTCAATTAAGGATGAAACATGTGACAGTGATACCATTGTCATCAGGGCACTTGGCACCATGTCCAAGAATTTTACAAAATACATCAAGAAATTAGAGCTTCCTGCAATAACACCAGCAGAACTGCAAAAAACTGCGCTACTAGGAACATCATACATTTTAAGAAGACCCTTGATTGATACCTAGGATGCTGGCATCAACCTCTATCAACCATCAGTGCCAGTCAATAATATTTACGATACATTTTTAAATGTTCAGTTGACTGAGTTTCATGTTTAATTAATAAAAGAGAATAATAATAATATACACTTATGGAAGACATAATTTTATTCAAGGGACATATACAAAAATGGCAGGGGTGGAATAATACTTATTAGACATGGGTAACACTGTAGAGGAGAGCTGAAGTTGCAAACATAATACTACCAAACAAGATTTTTCTCAACTGTACTACTCCGTCTTTACTCATTCTATTTACTCTTGTTTCCAGGTGCATTCAGATAATTTATACAAAGTTTCTCAGATAGCAAATGTAATTCCATGTTTACATAAATCCATTTGATAAGTTCTGCTCTGAAGCAAAATTGACCAGGTAACAAAGTCAAACCACCAGGAACTTATTCCCTAATGGTTTAGATCAGGGGTGTCAAACTCACCTTATCATCGTCACGTGGCATACATGTGGCATATAGTGACTTTTTTCCCATTCACTAAACCGGGCGTTGGTGTGGCCCGCACGTGACGCATCTGGCCCATGGGCCACGAGTTTGACACTTCTAGTTTAGATAGTCTTAGAGCAATTGTAGCCTAAAATGGTGGCACAGTGGTTAGAATGCAGTATTGCAGGCAAACTCTGCCCTCATACCAGGAATTTGATGCTAACTTGGCTGAAGGTTGACTCATCCTTCCAAGGTCAGTAAAATGAGGATCCAGATTATACCACTCCAGCACTGTGGAGTGGTATACAAATCTAAGTGGTAATGCTGTTGCTAACTGTAACATTGGGGAATCCTTGGTGCTCTCAGTGCTTGTGACTGAGGGGATTTGCTCCCTGTTTATATACAGTAGTTTGCACTACCAGACTGTGTATAAACAGGCAGCAACCCATATGAGCACTGATGATATTACTTAGACAGATAATTAAACAGCTGCAAGCAAATAACCAAGTTGAAAGAGCACAAAGGACTCCAAAGTACAACCCTGAGCTACATATATTCTCTTCTATTGAAATGTAACATTGATGAATTCAACACTCTTGCAAGACCTAAGATGAAAGTGTGGGAATCAATGCTAATGAAATTTCCTTGGTAGTTATCAGTTAAAATCCTACATGTTGCAGAATGAACAAGATTGTTTTTGAACAAATATAGTCGTTCTAAAAATAGGCAATTTGAGTAAGAGTCCTAAGATCTCTTGCTTGCTATTTTCAGCTATTTCAGGAATGTTATTTATGAATGTTAATTTTAGATGAAGAAGAGCGATCCAAATGATGTGGTTGTGCAAAGCGGTTCTAAGATCAGACCTGATGCTGACGATGGAGTATTACGGTCTTATCAGGAGGAATTGGAGAAACATAGATTCTCTGTGTGGTGAGCAAACCTATGTATGGCGGTTTATTTTTTGTTTGTTTGTTCGTGGAGAACTATGTAAAATGTGTTTGGGATGGTGAGAAATACGGGCAAAACTTTCTAAGGCAACGTGACAGTTGAAACAAGTGGTGATTTAGTACCAGAGCTGTTCATCATTTCAAGAATCAGAAAATACATTTCATTTCTCCTGTTGCTGGAAGTGATGCCGTTTGAATAAGCCATAAAAATGAGTTCCTGGCCATTTGTGGTTATTAAAGGCCCTTGGGCACTTCTTTGAAAAGGGTAGCTGCTAGAGTAACAGTTCTAACCACAATATTCTTGCCAAATCCTAATTTTATAATCTGCCTTCTTCAGTTTTGCCTGGGGTTTTCAGATAAAACTTCCTGCCTCCTCCATTCTCTCCTTCATCTTCACCCAAAAGTGTTTCCACCACCTATTAAGAAATCGTCATAAGCCATTCAAAATAGATAATCACTGCAAAAGTAATTTTCACTTTACTTTGAAAAGAGGAGAAGGGCACAAAAACTATGTAATGCTTCTGCAATGTAACAACATTTGTATATTTAAATTGTTCGATATCATCCTGCTTGTGCCCACTCCCCTAAAACCCCAGCCCCTGTTTCCTAGATGAGTACTGCTGATGTGTGTGGGCTGGAATATTTCTAACAGCCTCCACTGGTACTATGTGGCTCACTTAAGAGCAAGATTAAATTATCTTCAGAATCTAATCGGGGCGGGCTTCAAAAATTTTAGCAAGGTGTTCTCTGCCCAGTTGCTGGGTGGTGTGGCCATGGTGGGTGTGGCCTAGTCAGGTGCCCTCCTGCACCATGGTGACCTCCTGCACCATGGGAGGGGGACATTTTTGCCCTCCCTGGGCTCCAGAGGCTTTCTTCGAGCCTCCGGGAGGGCAAAAGCAGTCTCCTCAGGTTCTGGAGGCCCTCCGGAGGCCCTCTTCCAGAAGCCCTCTTCCGGTAGGCCCTTTTTTCACCCTCCCCAAGCCTCCCCAAGCCTCCGCACACACCCTGCACTTACCTGCATCCAAAACAGGCCACATGGGGATTCCTGGGAGGGGAGGGCAGGGGTGGGCAGGGCCAGCCAGGAGTGGGATTTGGGGGTTCTCTGAACTGCACAGAATCTTAGCTAGAGGTTCTCCCAGCTGCGAACCCCCAGCAGCCCAACCCTGAATCTAATACTAAATTAATGATGGAGGATAGGCGAATTTAATGAAAGAAGGAATTTTATTGGGATTGTTTTGTTCTTTTTTTTTAATGTTGCCATTTACTTTGTTCAGCCATAATTCTCCTTCTTACCTCCAATCCTGGCTCAGACTGACCCAATTCTCCCATTTGTCCAAATGAGAGTTACAGACAAAATGTAGTGTGGATTTTCATGGGAGTGGATTAGTACAATCTAATGCAAAGGCATACAATTTATGGACCATATGCTCCCCTCTCCTAAAAGTTTTAAGAAGGGTCTCCAAAGTTGGAGCTGATTATTTACAACAGCAACAAAGAAAACAAAGACCTTCCTGATTTTCTTCTCCGACTTACAGTTTTAATTCTCCTTTTAATCGCTGTGGATATTGTTCATTGCTTTCTTCAGAGTTACTTCTTCCTTTTTTGCCCATTAGGCTCTCAATTCAAGTTATGAAAATATATGGTCGTAGACCAAAGCAAGACAAAATTAAGAATATGAATTACAAATACCCATTAAAAGAGACTATTTGCAACTGAGATTTTATATATCAGTAACATATACACACACACACACACACACACACACACACACACACACACACACACACACGTATACATACATACATACTGTAATATATATACTCTAATATATACATACACACACATATACATATACATATGCATATGCACATACACAAACACAGACATCTATCTATCTATCTATCTATCTATCATCTATCTATCTATCTATCTATCTATCTATCTATCTATCTATCTACACATACACATACACATACATACACATTCACACACACACACATCTATATCATCTATCTATCTATCTATCTATCTATCTATCTATCTATCTATCTATCTATCTATCTATCTCCCCCAGGCCTAGTGACTTCTGATTTTCATTGCAGTGACATAACATTTGGGCACCATTTTGGAAACCTGCCAGTCCAACCATTTAGAAGGTAATATACAATTGCTATATGAGATTGATCTAAAGAGTCTCTACTGCTACCCTTAGTAGATGGTCAATAGGGCATTTCAAAAGTTCAGGCTCTCATTCACAACTTTCATACCACTCCATGTTAGGAATTTCATTGCTGGTAGTGACCTCTTTAGCTGTCTTCTTTTCTAGTGGTGTTTCATTCCATCAGGTGGATGCCAGAGCATCCTAGCAAAGAGGGGCCTGCATTAAAGATGCTGAGCTTGTCAGCTGGAAAGCTTACACTCGGGTTTGAGACCTGAGCTCTGCATGATGGAGGAAGTTCCCATTACTTGCTCCAGCTCCTGCCCACCTAGTAGTTCAAAAGCATGCAAAAAGGTACTCATGCTAAAGTACCTCTTCTGTGAGAAGATACCATTTCGCTAGGAAGATAACAACATTCATGTGCCTCAGGATATAGACATGCTGGGCACATGACTACAGGAATATCTTCAGACCATGTGGCTCCCTCAGTTTAGAGATGGAGATGAGCATCGCTCCCTAGAGTTGGACACAACTGGACAAGGGAAACCTTTACCTTTACCTAGCATCTTACATTTTCCTCTTTTGGTGGGGAACTCCAGTAAAAGGAGACTTTCACTGAAAGAAGGACAAGCATACATTGAAGAAGTATACCTTTTCTCTCTTCCTTCCTTCCTTCCTTCCTTCCTTCCTTCCTTCCTTCCTTCCTTCCTTCCTTCCTTCCTTTCTTTTTAAAAAAAGAGGGGGTAAATTTTCAAAAAAGAATGTAAATAATAATAGCTGCTTACTGATTTGCATGGTCGTAGTTTAAATAAGTTATTTTTAAAATACTAAAAGATAAAATAGATAGTCTGCCCATACTCTTCTTGCTTACTTGTGGAGCAGAAGATCACCAGTACTATCTCTGTCATCCTTGAGTAATAAAGAGATAGAAAGCTGTCAATTAACAAACTAATACTTTAGATCTTGAAGAGCTGGTGCCAATCAGAATCATTAGGAGGTTGGACAAATTTCCTTACCCAGTATAAAACAGACTTCTGTATTTCCAAATATACTCTCTTCAAAACATATACCTTTCCTTGTATTAATGAAATGATCTTCCTACAGTGATGCTATTGCACAAATAGACATACAAAACTGGGTACATTTGATGGAAGCAGTGACTACATCAAATGGGCGGGCCTTAAAACAGGGTACCTCATTCTGAGTCTTTCAAGATATTTTTGTCTTCAATCTCTGTCCTCCCTAATCAATTTTGACTAGGCTTGATAGATATTGCAGGCATAAATGTCAAGAAGGACTTTTGTCGGAGAAGCGGCTTAGCTTAATCTTATTTATATTCTTGCTTTTTCTACCCTCCAAGTTATTTTAACTTTGAGTCAAAGGGATCAGTCTTTCTTCTAATCTTAGATATTCTCTGTTAGATTTCATCTCTAAATATATATTCTGTCATATGATTAAGGACAAAAAATAATAAAAGAAATTAATGGAGTTTTAGGTATGGAGGTTTTCAGGCTTCTATAAAATAAGAGTTTCAGATACTCTGAGATGCAATCTGAACAATTTCCTTGATCTTTTATTGGAACTGTAAATCGTTTATGGGGGCAGCCTTTTTATAAACTCTTAAAGTCCCATAAAATCTATTTAATACAAAATACTGTACTACCATCCATCTTCAAAGTTATGCATGTAGTACATTAATTATCATTAGCTTAGAGTTCCCTTGAAAATAGTTTGGTTTTTTTTCACCATCCTGGTAGCCTTCTATCTTCACCTTGTAAATTTATATACAGTATATTCCAAGAAATGAGCATGTAATATATACATTTTAAGATATGGCTTTCCTGAGACATTATTTTTTTCAGGAGGGAGAGGTAATGACAAGAAATATTTTTTCAAGAAGTATTGTTCCTATTCTTGCCAATAGTTGCTATTATTCACAAACTACCATACTAAGTCTCAGTACATCATGCTATTATTCATAAAATGCTATAAAAAGACCCAGAGACCCAACTGAACAAGGCTTTAAATCAGCTTTCCCGAATATCGTGGTGTGACTCCATCTTCCAAAATTCCCAATCAATACAGCTAATATTGGTGCTAAATCTTAACCCGAGAAGTTTTGAATTCCCCTGAATATAAAATCCCTTTTATATATATATATATATATAAAGTATATATATACTTTGTGTATAAATGGTCACATGGTATTTGTCTATTTTTATTTTATTTTTCTCTGTTGTCACTATATCCTCCTTAAAATGAAAGGAAGTAATTTGACTGACCAGCTCATAGGACCAAGGTGTCCATTCAATGTTAGACAAGTATAACCTGAATAGAACAAAAGTACTGTATGGAATACATATTATGGTTTTTGACCATTAGCGTTTCCCAAGCTGATCATTCTAGAATCTACATGTATTGAAAATGTAGCTCCTGTAATTTCTACATCATAAGCCCTAATAGTGTAATGTTTAAAAACTAGACTTTCTATGGATGTGCTTAGAAATCAAACTTAATTGAGCATTGTTACTGCTCTTACAGCTGAATCATCCTTAGCTTTTCGTTTTGTGGAATTCATGTGTCAATGGCATGCCTGCTCTGCCTGTTGAGACTGCAAGCTACGACATGTGAATTTCATCTTTATAAATGTTTTTCTCTACCAAAAGAACTTTTTGATGTAATAACTGCAGAAAACATAGAATAAGGAAACATTTTCCCCATTTTTCCATTAGTAATTACATTGGCTTTCCATGTTGTTGATCAGGAATGTTAAACTCATGTTGTCACCGTGGCGACACATGATGTATCGGGATTTTTTTTCCCCC